CCATTTAGTCTGTTTCTCCCTCCATCAGTGGTGAAGCTTGAGTAAAGGTCAAACGAAGTGCTTGTCTTCTGACAAACTGACCTGTTGCTATCGCGATCACGTACTCGCCAGCCAGAGGTGTTGGTTGAATTAAGGCATTCGTCTTATTGTCAGGTATCGAGAAGTGGTTCTTACCCGGCTTTTCCTGGGACGTGGGAGCTGTGCAGTGAAAACCCCAAAGAAAATGGTCAGGGGTGCAGAAAAACGCCTACCCCGTGGTCTTCCGCCCTGGAGCAGTGGGCAGTCACAAGTATGGTCTGTGGGAAATAATGGAGAACATAAAGTAGGCTCACCGTCTCACCCACGACACGCAAAATTTAACGGAAAAACTGTCCGTGTTCGCTGAAATCGTACTGCATTATGCCCATTGCTCCTTGAGTAGGTTTAGTGTGAAAGTGAGGGGGTGGGGCGATGCCTCTGGCATTAGTACTATTAAGGTTGACTGACCGTCCAATCGTCGTAGACGGGGTAGTGTTCCTTCGCGCTCCCGAAAGTTGTGTCCGAAATGAGTAGCTTCTTTTTTAAGAGTTTCGGGGTTAGAGTCGTGTTGGGTGGTTACATCCTTATGATCCATCGCTCATCTAAAATGTTGGCGACAAAGACAACGAGAGCCGAAATGACTTTCTGTCCCATTTGACGTCTTCAGACGTCCATTTCCCCCGGCCGAGAAAAACCACTTGGGCAGTGAGCCAGGCACCTTATCAGTTGAATTGTGGATTCACGTTTTGTCGGAGGCGATTGAAAATGTCCAAAGTCGTATCGCTGTGCTGCTTGTCGATCGCCAGTAATAAACACCCTTGTCAGTAACACTTCACGCTTTTTGTTATCAAAATTTTCAACTCAGTCTGATCACGGAGTATATGTGGCGAACTGGTTGGATGCTGTTCATTCTCTCAGTAACTATTTTTGTTCCCTTTCTAATACTTATGTAATTGCTACTTATTCACAAGGGGATCCTTACGATATGCTGGCCCTTTCGTGAGTAAAAAGTCGCGTTAAGGCACGGGGATGTGGACCTTTATCGTGTTACCGGTGGCATAACGCTAACTTCCGTGAAGGCTAGGAGCTAGGCTTTGTGTTAGGACTAGGGTCAGTGTTATGAGGGCAATTGTTACGGTAGGGAAGGCTTGCATTACAGTGTAGTAGTATTAGTAGTAGTAGTAGTAGTAGTAGTAGTAGTAGTAGTAGTAG